AGTAAAGTTATATAACCTTAAAATTTCAGAAAACCTCACCTGCATTTCACGTATTGTTATTTCCTTCATTCTTTTAAAATCCTTTTAGATTTCTATCCCTCCTATCTGAAAAGCGTAAATTTTCTACCCCCACAGTTGGAAGTATTCTATTATACTAAATAATATAATAATATTCCTATAATAATAATAATCCTATATTGAAAAACGTTACATGATTTCTTCATGTGGGAGGTGATATAATCTATAGGTAAGTCGCAAACGGGAAGACAACGCAGAAAATGCTTTTTAATTAGGAATTCTGACGTTTTGGACCAAGCTCGGTCCGTCTTCACAGTACAAGTACAAAGTTCAGATTGTACTTTGAAGACGGACCGAGCTTGGTCCAAAACGTCGGAAATCCATAATTAAAGAACATTTTATGCTTTGTCTTCCCGTTTGTGACTTACCTAAAGATAATATCCTATACTAATCTAAATACGTCAGACGTGATTGCCACTTATGTTGATCATATCACACAGGAATATCCGTCAGAATGCTATTGCGAAACTTCTGTCCTGCATTCTAACATATCTTGCAATCTCAATCCTTGAGCAAGCTGGTTGTAATTAAACTTAACAGATGCATGCCCAGCACACTTTGACTGTTTTACCGTCAGGAAACGTTTGGCCGTATAACTGGATTTGCTTACAAGCACAACTTTCGCTTTGCATGGTGTCACTTTACCTAATGTCCTCATTACTTTCCATACTAAGCATATCAGTTTCAGCCTCAACATGCTACCCCAAAAATGTTGATGACACTACAATTGGTACACTGTACGCAAAATCTCTTCACCTAGCATTACACAATGCAATCCGCCTAACATATTTGAAAGTTTAGACATTATAATGCTCTAAATTAATCAAACTCAAAACGTATCGTAAAATCTTCCACGTATACGACGATATTAAATATCTTCGGCTTCTGTATTTATACGATCATCTTAGCAAAACTGATAAAAAAACGTAAAATACATAAGATCCCGAAACTATTTTGTCGTCGTTCCTATTAGAAACCTTGTCGTAATCAGCCACTGCTTTCGCTGCCGCCTTGCTGACTCCAAATATCGCACGAGAATAGAAGGCTCTTTGTTTTAAAGTCATTTCTTGAACGCTGCTTTGTCTTTAACTGCCAGTTGTACCTCCTGTGTCCACTAAGAAGATCATTTTTGACTTCCATGCGGCAGGCCAACTCCTTTAATCCGCAGCATTCAGTGGTAGTCTCGAGTATGCCGCTCTTATGCTGTTTCTGCATCACTGTTCATCACCGGGATCTGTTCAAACCGTCGTACGATGATGTCCGTAAATTTCGCTCTCGTGTCCACCGAAGACAATGTTTCCCATTTGATTCTCCGGTTGCTTCTGCCACCGGA